TTGAGGGTGTATATTGTGACATAAGTCAAGAATTCGTTTTTCCTTTCACATTCAGAGTTAGATAATGATCCATCTTACATAATCCTGTGGACATTTTAAGACCTAGTGTGCAACAGTTTCTTAGACTTGAGCTGGGATGAAAATGTCAGTAGGTTGGAATGATTTATGGAATTCGGCTCTATTCACATAACAGATTCTTGCAGATATTAAGAAGCAGCTGAGTGATGGACTACTGCAATAGCAGCAAGGTTTTGGCTGCTGAGGGTACAGTGCATTCCTGGCAGGTCAGGAGCAGAGGAGTCAGCTGCAAGGCTTCACTAAGTCTGTTGGAAGCTCTAGGTCTGTTGGACCAAGGCCCTGCTTCTCCTATCATTCTGCAGGTTGCTGGGTAATGAGATCAGATAATTTTAACCTGCTGTATAAAGAAAGGTAAACTTGTAACTCTTCCTTTAAAACCAGAAAGAAACTGAATAAGTCAGAGAAGACATGATGTTTAACTCTGCAAAGAGTTAAGGTGGGAGAGAAGAAGAATTATGCTAACTTGGACTGAAAAGAAAGCCTCTGTGATTCAAAAGGACAACAGAATGATCCTGGATGTAAACCCAAGGACCCTGAGCAGCAGCAGTAATACGGGTACAGTTTCATTATTTTGTGTACTGTTGCATAAACACCTGCTACCTGAGTGAAAATTTATTCTGGAAGCAAGCTGCAAAGCCTATCCTTATGCATGCAATAAGTTACCCCTGTCATTTGTCCCTGAAGAGTTAAACTGTAAACCCAGAGAATAAACCTTGAGAATGTCCGTGCTTACATTATGAAAGAGTCTGAAAAGGTTAACTTCAGGGACTAGGAAACTGAACAGACTGTTACAGCTACCAGAGAATTTTCTTGGTAACACCTGTACCACAGAAATATGTGCAGAGATGTTAACCAGGGCAGTAACTGTTTAGAAAGAGAAATTTCCGGGCACACAGAGGCACTCAGACATAAGATCCTGAAGAGGCTGCAAGATGCCAAACTCTACTAGGGCCATGTCCACACACAATAAGAAAGAAAGAGGAAGAAACACTGTTCCTCTTCTTTTCCTCTTTCCAAAAGTACTTATATGGGGGTGTGTAACATACAGTTTACATTGGTTTTCGATGTGTCTTCTCTTGGGTGATATATCTACACAGGAAGAGAATAAGTAGGTGGACCAATGATGCAAGGGGTGTGATGTTGTGAGTAAAATACATCTTTGACATGTGACTTGAGAGAGCTACTTGACTGTGAGAAAACTGAGAAAGAATCGTTGACAATTTTGCCTGTTCCACTGTGTTGGTAAATTATTCAATAGACATGCTGAATTTTATTAATCTTTTCTAACATTTACATGATTTTAGCATTCTTTCTATGTACTTATGTCGTACATGTGATCGTTAAAAGACAACCAAAGAGCCCTACTCCTTAATAAACCTTTCCTCCATTTCAAAGTGTACCTGCTATCCCACAAACGTTGTGTTATTTCTTCCCTTTTTAGTAGAATAGCATTGGTTGTACCATGTGGCAAGTACAAAGATTCCTCCCTGCTGCCATTTTAGTTGCTGTTGTTCACCTTGAACCAAGAATTAAAATCATTTGTCTGTTTAGTAGATACTGCCCATTATCAGTAGAACCAGTAGTTCTTCCTGCATTAGGCAGAGTGATCCGAACCTCTTCAACAGATCCTCTGACCAGGTTTTTCAGTAGAGCCTGCGTGCTAATATTCTGTACTTACCTCATGAACTCATTTCCTAGATAGTGTTTGTTTTTTTTTTTTTCTTTCTGCTGCTTACCAACAATGGAAAAATCAGAGGCATAATGAAATAACAGTAATTCTAGCACAACTGTCAGAGTTTGAGAGATTGGATGCAGTTGACATCTGAGCACTTAAAACTGGCTATTTGACTGTCATATTTCTTTAATTCTTTCTGGGTCTGAACTAATTTCATTGAATTTCAAGGGGGAAATGGTGCTCAAAAAGCATTTCTGTTATGAATCCAAAGAGACCAATGCATAAGATTTTTTTTGCATGTGTGTGGAGAGGAAGGGAAAAATTAGGCATTAAAAATCAGTAATTAGGCAGTTAAGTGACAGTACAAACTCTTTTAAGCATACTGTAAAATTAAATTAAAAATTGCAAGACCATACCAGGGAAATTCTAAGCTGCAATTAGGATTTAATTTTCACAGCGTTGAAAAGAGTTAGGTCTGATTTTTAAATCAGGCAAGTCATCGGGGAAAGCTCTGTCACCGGTGCCTAAAGAAGGTGCAGGAGCATTACCTACAGTGTGAGGTTATCCCACAAGAGGGGCTCACAGCCGAGCTTTTCCCATCCCTGACCCTAGCTATGGGAGCACGCGGTCGCGGTGGCGCCGAGGCTCCTTGCTGCCTGCTGAGGAACCGTCGCCCTTCTGCCAATTCGGTCGCCAGCGCTCCCTGTGTGCTTTGAACCTGTGCTCCCTTCCCTGCCCTGCGCCGCTGCGCGCTTGCTTCCCTCGCGGTGCCAATGCTGACCCAGCAAACTGACCAAGTCCCATCCTGCTGGCACAGCTGGGGAGGTGGTGCATCGTGGTGAAAGAAGAGGAAATGGCAGAAGGGTTTGGGAGGGGGACATGGTAAGACAGTGTAACTGAAGAAGACTAGTGTCATGAAATATCTTCAACTCTCGTTTCTCCTTTCGGAATAGCATCGCTTGCATATATCTGGGAAACTATTCTGCTTTGAAGCCAAACACTACGTTCTTCAGCCCAGCTTCAGATGGCGTATCCACTTTGAAAATCAAGTAACAGATATTCATTGAGGCTGGTTTCTTAGAGCAGCCATCAGTTTCCAGGCGCAGAAGCTCCCATAGACTTTCAAATTCAACATTCGCTTTGCTTTCTCCATATAAATATATGGAGATGAAAACAGTGCACAGTCTATTAGGAAGAGCTTTCTCCACCAATGACAGTAAGACCAGGAACATATGTGATGTAGGAGCACTGGAAGATGACCAGCTGTGCTCTCAGTCTGTTCAGTCTGTTAATAGGACTAAACCTTCAGCTTTAGGCATTCTGGGGTACAGGTTGTGATGTAATAAGATATGTGGAAGAAAATGAAATATGAAATTGAATAATGTATTTAATTTACTGTGCTAATAGGCAGCAGTCTAGTTATATGTTGCCAAACAAGCATATTTAATATTTTGCTATGATGAGTTATTCTGGGGGTAAATTAATTTTCAGAGAACAGTGCCATTTGGGGAGGGGAAACAAAAATGTAGAAGTCAAAGCCTACTGCTCTTTATCACTTTTAAGGAAAACTAGATATTTAGAAATGTGTCAGAACAGAAAAATTAATTCTATTTTTCCATAAGAAGCCATGCCAGTTTTTCCCCTTTTCTTCATCTTAAGCAGATTACTGTCATCACCATTCTTGCCAACAAGCAGACTCATTGGAATATTTTTCAAAAATTAATACAAATATTGGATGCAAGCAGGTGGAATGAATTAATTATAAGCATATGGTTCTAACATAACGATTTCTGCAGTGTACTGTCGAGACATCTAAGGGTCTAGATATACAACACACTTTGGCAACAAAGCTGCTTTAAGAAATCAGTTACATGGATATAAATGTTTGTGGCGCCAAACTTACTGAAATGATCCAGACTGAACACCCTGCCTCACAAACACACATTTCTAGGACAGTTTTTAGCTCTAAGCCACGGCAACGGTGTGGTTTATGCTGTTCTCCCAGTTGTGTTAGCAAACTGAACATAGAATCAAATAAACACCGCAGGCAGGGACTGGGACCATCTGTGGGGAAATAGCGCTTCGGCCAGCTTCCCACAATACAATGTACAGCTGTATAATATGTCCTATGATAACCTATATCTACTGTAATTCCAGGCTTCAAGTCTTTTTGCTGTAGAGGCAACTGCAAATGTTCCTGGCTTGCACTGATCCTTCACCAATTTCCAATCTCCCCTACTGATGTAAGTTAGTATTCCTTTATTTGGCAGAGGACATCTCTGAGACAGACCACCAAAAAGGTCTGAATTAGAGAAAGACAGCCAGAAAACAATCTTAAAGAAAAAAAAAAAGTAAATAAAAAGATCCCAGATCCACGTAGATCTACAGAGCCACATGCCATTAGCTGGAGGCAAGAAGCAGCAGAGGGACTGGGCTGACCACTCCTGCTACGCCAGCACCAGGCACAGCTCAATAGCACAGAACGTGGTGCATCATTGACCACCTTACTTTAGAGTAGAACAATATTATGATTTTATATAGATCACATTTTCATATTACAATTCCTAGGTTTTTTGGTCATCAATTCAAAATATTTTAAAACTACAAATGTCCTGAATATTTAGATTGTTATTCATTGTATTCAGTTTTATCAAATTGAGCAGAAATGTATCGTGGCATTTTTGAAGATGATTGTGAAGCAGAAGAGATGAGAAATCAATAAAAAGTAGTAGATTTTTACAATACAATCTAAATTCGGACATGGATTTGTGCCATTATTTTGTTTAAAAAAAAAGTTTGCTTGTCTTTTCAGTGCATATTTATGATTATCTAAAAGCTTCATTTTTGGAAAACCTGCTGTGAGATCAACACTTTGAAAAATAATATACACTTCTTAAAGGGCTCAAATACAGCTTCACATTGAAACTCGTTTCTGTAAATACTACTTTTTAAATCGATCTTTACACTCAGATTCATTTTTTGATCTTGAGCCCTGCAGAATGGCCCAATATGGCACCTCGTAGCTGCCATGGGAGGACAAGGAGCAACCATAACATTAAAGATCAGTGCAAAATGCTTTTGTTCTTAGCGAAGATTTCACAAACAAATTATCACAATAATTTAGAGCAAACAGAAAAAAAAAACCAAAACAGTGACTTTTGTATAATCCAGCAGATGGTGCTATGATGCAATAAACTAATTCAAGAATACAAGAAATCCACTGAATGTGAACATTTTACTCCCTTACCTGGTGGTGCTGCTTTTTTGGTGGCTGGTTTGGCTGCAGGAGCTTTTGCTGGCTCTTAAAAAAAGAGAACAAATTAAACCAATTACTACAAAGCATTATATCTTTTTAAAAAAAGAGAAATCTGAGGAAAGGCTTCCAATGAGGTACAGTCTGAAGCAATTTTTTCCCTGAAGAGTTAGACAAAGAGATTACCCAAAGAGGAAAGAGCTGAGATGCCTTCAATAAACTCAAAGGCATCAACAAAATAGCCAGCTGAAGGGCTAGTAATCTCCTGCCGTTAGGCACTGCATCACTTCTTTTAGCTTTTTCTGTCTAGTAATTCAATATCTATTGGCAAAGCAGAGCAAAGCAGATATCTAAGAGTTTGGGCACAGCCTTGTATCTTCAGCAGCTATGGACTGAGAGACTCTGCATTTAATCTTACAGCTATGAGAGCTGAAGGTCCTGAACCAGCCTACGGCAGCTGGCGAGGATTCACTGCTGTGATTTCAACAGTGGTGCTTCTTGGGGTCCCACAGTTGTTCAGAGTGTCATCCTTTCCCCTGATCTGAGTCTCTCTCTCATGAGAAAAGGTGAAACCAGGCTACTTCTGTAAAGTACATTTACAAACATGGCTACACCAGGAGTCTCTCTCCATCCTGAGGAATGGAGGAGCATTAGGATAAAAACTTCATGTTTGATTCTGCACTTGAAAAAGCAACTGCTGGGTTCTCCTAGCAGAGAAATAACCCCTCTTAGGCTGCTTAGCTGTAGTTTTTCTGTTCTTGGTCTTCTCATGAAACATTTGCACTATCATCTTTTTACCAAGGTGGGACATTTCCTTGCAGAATGAAGGTCCAAATGATGAAGGGTATGTGCATCCTCACCAGACTGGGAGAATCTCAGCCCTGGATAGGGGAACCTAATTAGCCTACTGGATTTATTTACTCTTTACTACTGTTATCCTCAGGAACTTAGTGCAGACTGTACTTAAACCACAACAATTTAAAAAATATCCATAAGCTAAACTCCATCGACTTTCATAATGGATTTTTTTTTATATCAACTAGAAGATCCTCTAACTTAAAATTCATATTTCTGTACTGTGAGAGGAAATAATTAATCATTATAATCACAATCTGAGTTACAGAATGCCAAAAAAATGTTAGTTAATCCTTCACATCTGTCACTGTGTTATTACAAAGAAAAAGAATATGGCTAAATCAGGAACGTAATTTTGAGTTCTTCCCCTCCAGTCTTTTGAGAAGTTCATAAAAGATGCATCAGATTGTCTTGTGAAACAGAATGAAAACAAAATATAGTTTGCATGTGTGAGATTGTTTTGTTTCCATCCATTTAAATGCCTGCAGCAGATAATTATATCCTAACTTAGTTATTATCACAGTATTGTAATTACTTAGGGTGCTCACCCCTCCTTCAGGGAAATGTGTAGAAGACCTTGAAGAAGAATTTACTTAGTATTTCTTTCCCAAGTGCCTATTCTTGCAGAAGAAGTAGGAGATCCAACAAACATATTCCACAAGTGACAAAATGGACTTAATATAAAACTGCAAAACTCCTGCATTTATTCCCTTCTGAGTTCTCAGCTAGAACTTGCTGGCCAGTGAGACTTTTTTTTTACTTTTTGTTTGCAACATCTGTGAAAATGAATTAAGTTAGGGTTCTGTCTGTTCTACCAATATTTTTATTTTCATTTGAAATATTCAATTTCTGAGCAACTAAAATAATTTTAATTGAGGAAAAAAATTAAATTAAGGATATTTTGATGGAAAAAAAATTCTGTAATTTATTTATTTATTTAACTTTTCAGTAGCATTGAAACAAAAGTGCCAAATGTTTCATTGCAGGGCTAATGACTCTGCATCTTTATATGAACAATTTCAGTTGATAATTTCACCCTGCAAATTTCACTCATGCAATAAAGCTGTGAAGTTTTTCTGCAACAGCTGCTGGAGAGTTCTCCCATGAGAGGAATCATGTGCCCAAATCAATAGATCTTTTAGACCTGCTTGCAAACAGGCAGTTATCTCACTAACAGGCTGTTACTTGTAGAGTAAGTCCATCAAATCTTTTGTTCAATGTTTTTGCAAAATTTGAGTAGAAAAGCGATGTATAAGCTTTTCTTGATTGCCAAAAGAAGTCTTTTAATAAATTCCTAAAAAACTGAGAATGGTAGGAGATGATTCTGCCATATGGGTCTGGAAAGACCATATATGGAGATGGGAATCAATGCATTCTTTAATCATGAATGTCAATGAGATTTCAAAGCCTCATAGTTTTCCTAATATTACTTATATACCATACTTTCGGAACAGAGATCTGAGCAAATGAAGTCTTACCAGTGAAAGTCTATTACTATCCTTACTGTGTTGAGGCATTGATGCTTGCAAATTTTTAAAAAAGGCAAGAATAAGAGTTCCCTTGTTAACAGTACCATGTTCTCAGAGCATTTTTTTGTTATTTATCCAGAAGAGCCCAGCCTCTACCTCTCTTCTGCCTCAGCAGTCTTTCTGAATCTAAGGTAACTAGATAGGTGGGCCCCTTGTTTTGCATTTGTGAAGATAAATTTGGTGGTCCTCAGCACGCTGGACTCCCAGTCGTCTCAGCCCTTTTGCCAAAATTGCTGCCTCTGAGAGCACATTCAGCTGAGATCTCATTTGACATTTCCTTCCCCATGAAACCTTTGTTTTTGAAGATAGTGATAGAAAAGAGGGGAAGGCAAAACTGTCAGTCACGAAGAGGAGTGTGGAATTAGAAGTAGGATAAGAATGGATTTAGAAAGTAGGAGAGAGCTGAAGTCTAAACATGTCATTTTTCAATTACAAACGGTGTAGCTACTTTCTTCTTTGTATTTTCAACAATTCAATTACTATTATTTTGGATTATTGAAACATGCTGTTTGAAACTATACGACATATAAAAGAGATCATAACCTATGGCACAGTAATTTCTTACTTTTGAGTTCTTTGGACGCAGCAGCTTCTTTTTTATCTGTAAGATAAAAAACACGTATATGCATAAAAACATAGTTAGGAAGGATATAGATAGACAGAAAACCACAGCGTGTGCTTTAGAGGTGATACAGCTTAGGTGATACAGCTTATTTGCTGCAAAGTGCATTTGAATGATGCAGTGGATCAGATCACTTCTGTTTGTTTCATAGCACAGTTGCACTAATTTAACCTTGAATGGAAATGCAACAAAACCTGTGTGAATTTGAACATTTTTCTTTAATTTTGGTGTAGTAATCTGTGAGATTCGACATGTGATTGAGTTACGGTGGCTTACATGTAGTAGCTGAGCCGTGGATGCTGACCACATGCATATTGTTGATTACAGAAGCTCAAGAGAATATGGTCTAGAAGCCTAAGAATAGAGACATGTAATGAAAGGAGTTATCTTCCCACGATTGTTGACAACCATACAACTGAGGCCTAGTTTGGAAAGCTCCGTATAACACCTAGCCAAAACTCCAGGTGCCATGTGTTTCCCACATGCCAAAACAAATGGAAGATTTACAGCTAAAGAGCAGAGAGAGAGAGTCTGAGTTGTCCCTCCAGTCCAGCCTGGAGGAAAGATACTTGCTTTTCCAAACTTTCCCCAATGTGCAGTTAAAGTTCAAGCTAATGCATTTCCTTCGTGTTTGTGAAAATTGGCACATGTGACTCTTGCCAAAACTGAGCCAACATGGAATAGCTCATGAATGCGGAGAAACTCAGTCAATCCTACGTATGGACCATGTAAAACAAGGCAAAATCTGTCCCTGCTTGATTTAAAGGAAGTTAAAATAACTTGGCTCTATCAAAACACCGCATGTCCAATGAGCCTATCAGACGGACTTAATTAAGCTGTTCAATCTCATCTTCAGTTAAGGTGGAATTTTTGTGCCACTTTTTTGTAAGACTTTTTCTGATGGCTGAGAGAAGATTCGGAATCTTTACTAAGCGGATGTAAATAGGCAGAAATTCTCAGTGAGAACTTCTCTCTCCATTATAATTCTTGCTGCTATTCTGCCTCAGGGCTTTTAGTGGGGTACAAAAATCAGCCATTTTTATAACCATATATAAGGCCTTACATAACTTTTTCACTAATCTCACCTGCACAACAAAGAAATGGTTCATGGAGGTTCTGTGAGACTGATAGTAAAGAGATGTATAGAGTAGTGGTAGAAGTTACTCCCCTGGGTTCCCATGAGGAAATGAACATCTTCTCTAGTAATCTATAGTGTGCTTAGAATACAGGCAGGATAATGCTTATGTCCACAACATTTATGAATGATAAATTAATTGTGCTCTTAAACACTAATACAAGAAATACTTTGGGGCAGAAGCTGCCAAAATAAGTAGCTTGCAAAACCAAAACTATCCCATTACTGGTAATAATACGATGTTGCTTCAGTTTCTCTTGCTTTCTAAATTGCTGTGAAGAAGTCGATATGAGATAAGGTAATGCAAATGACTGCCAAGTAGTCTAATAAAAAGTCTTGAAAAATTCAGAAGAAAATACATTTCTATTCGGGTGATGTGCTGCTCTGAACTGAAATGTTTCTAGGTTAATCCTCTGCTTCCACTAACTCTCTGTGAAAGCATGTTTTGCAGGCATTACTTCAAAGTATGATAATTACCACATTTAGATGAAATTAATCATGAGGCAGCTTTCAGCCACGTTATCTGGCTAAGGAGCCTATTGAAGCCTTCAAGAAGTGCCTATTAGTTGCCAGATATGGAAATTTTAAAAGGTGTATATTGCCGCGGTATGACTCATTTATCACAATAATCTTCTATTGCTGGAGGTTATAAAAAAATAAATAAATTGGCAGCATCATTTACAATAACAGACTGGATCTAAATAAAGCCCTCAAGTTCTTTCTTTCCTTTTTTTCATATAAGTCATCATTTATTAGGACAACATATTTTAATACATTTTAGAGCCATAATTTATGTTAAAAGAATCAATGTGTTTTTCCATCATTTGAAGTACATAATGTGTAGTAAATTCTGAGTAAATATCTAGACAATTTTTTCAGTAAGAAAATCCTATAATTTGTGGTTTTTTAGTGTATTTTTGTTTTGTCGTGTTTTATTTTTTAAAAGCAGAAAAATTACCAATAGCTGATTCCGATAGCACATGTTGATATGAAAATGTAAACATTTTTACTCTTAGGCTATTCTTTTCAAGTCAAAGTTTTCTAAAGCTGTACTTATGCAACGAGACTGGAGTGATTTACAGAAAATCCACTGATTGTTATCTGCCGCTGTTGTTTCACGTGGGCACCAGTGATACAGACAGGAGCAGTCTGAGGGGTATCACGAAGGATTACAGGGAAGGGTGACATTATAGTAAGGGTCTGCTACTGGCCACCTGACCAGGAAGACCGAGTGGATGAGGTGCTCTGATAGAGATCTCTAAGACAGATAGGAGCGCTGGTCCTCATGGCGGAGTTTAACCACACCGATATCTTTTCGAGGGACAACATAGCAGGGCATAAGCAATCCAGGAAGTTCCTGGAATATGTCGATGATAAATTCCTTCTCCAAGTGACAGAGCAACCAGTGAGGACAGGTGCTTCACTGGATCTTGTTCTCACCAACAAGGCGGGGGTGGTGGGGAACGTGAAGCTGAAGGGCAGCCTTGGCTGCAGTGATCATGAAATAGGAGTTCAAGATCCTTAGGGTGGTGAAAAGGGTGCAAAACAAGCTCACTACCCCGGATTTTAGGAGAGCAGACTTTGACCTCTTCAGGGATCTATTTGGTCGAGTACCATGGGATAAAGCACTGGAGGGAAGAGGGGACCAAGAAAGCTGATTAATATTCAAGGATCACCTCCTCCAATCTCAGGAGCAATGCATCTCAACAAAGAGGAAGTCGGGCAGAAACACCAGGAAGCCTGCATGGGTGAACAACAAGCTCCTGGACAAACTAAAGCACAAAAGCAAAGCCTACAAAGGGCAGAAGCAAGGAGAACCAGGGATCAAGTTAGGAAAGCTAAAGCCTTGATAGAATTAAATCTGGCCAGGGACATCAAGGGCAACAAGAAAAGCTTCTATAGGTATGTCAGTGATAAAAGGGAGACTAGGGAAAATGTTGTCCTTCTCCAGAAGGAAGCCAGAGACCTGGCTACCCAGGATATGGAGAGGGCTGAGGTACTTCACAACTTTTTTGCCTCAGTTTTCACCAGAAAGTGCTCCAGCTGCACCGTTCAAGTCACAGAAGGCAAAGGCAGAGACTGGGAGAATGAAGAACTGCTCACTGTAGGAGATCAGGTTTGAGAGCATCTAAGGAACCTGAATGTGCACAAGTCAATGGAACCTGATGAAATTCACCTGTGGGTCATGAGAGAACTGGCAGACGAGAATGCTGAGCCACTATTCATCATATTTGAGAAGTCGTGGCTTGCTGATGACACCAAGATGTATGGTGTTGTGGACACGCTGGAGGGAAGGGATGCCATCCAGAGGGACCTTGACAGGCTGGAGAGGTGGGCCTGTGAGAACCTCATGAAGTTCAACAAGGCCAAGTGAAAGGTCCTGCATGTGGGTTGGGGCAATCCCAAGCACAACTACAGGCTGGGTGGAGAATGGATTGAGAGCAGCCCTGAGAAAAAGGACTTGGGAGTGCTGGTGGATGAGAAGCTCAACATGAGCTGGCAACGTGCATTTGAAGACCAGAAAGCCAACCGTATCCTGGGCTGTATCAAAAGAAGCGTGGCCAGCAGGTTGAGGGAGGTGATTCTGCCTCTCTACTCTGCTCTTGTGAGACCCCACCTGGAATACTGCATTCAGCTCTGGAGTCCCCAGCACAAGAAGGACATGGAGCCATTGGAGCGAGTCCAGAGGAGGGCCACGAAGATGATCTGAGGGCTGGAGCACCTCTGCTGCAAAGACAGGCCGAGAGAGTTGGGGCCGTTGAGCCTGGAGAAGAGAAGGCTCCAGGGTGATCTTACAGCAGTCTTCCAGTACTCGATGGGGGCCTACAGGAAAGCTGGAGAGGGACTTTTTACAAGGGTATGTAGTGATAAGACAAGGGGCAATGGATTTAAACTGAAAGAGGGCAGATTTAGATTAGATCTAAGGAGGAAATTTTTCACTCAGAGGATGGTGAGGCACTGGAGCAGGTTGCCCAGAGAAGTTGTAGATGCCCCATCCCTGGAAGTGTTCAAGGCCAGGCTGGATGAGGCTTTGGGCAACCTGGTGTAGTGGAGGGTTCCCCTGCCCATGGCAGGGGTGTTGGAACTAGATGATCGTTGAGGTCCCTTCCAACCCTAAGCATTTTATGATTCTGTGAACTAAAAGGAAAATAATATCAAAAAATATTTGAATGAGTTATACTAGTGTAATTTAAGTCAACGAACATTTTTCCTCATTCATTCTTGTTTTGCACAGGTCTAGGATTTAACTTTTAAACTTTGGGAATGTGTTTGGGGAATGCAACATATCACAGCAGTTTTTTATAGTCATCATGTCTCTTTTTTAAAAAACAACAACAAGAAGCTCCCTGGCCTTTCAGTGGGCTGGTTATTCAGGTTAGTTAAGAAGAGGAATTTCCAGAAGTTACTTTTTTCCCAACATCGGTGTTAGGCAACATAGGAACATTATTGCACACACATCTTTGCCATTCAGCCTAGGAAGTATTATCTCCAGAGCTTCATGCTATTTTGTCTTTAAAAATCACATCTAAAGCCCTGCAACAGGAAAGGCAAATGTATGACATGAGAACGACGCCTACACTTCTTGGAAGCCATGTAACTTCATTAGGATCCATATAACACATGAACATTAGTCTGGGCCCTCTATCAGCCTTGATCAGTAGTACAGTCAAAAGCATTGTGACTGTCCTTGGTATTGGTGACAGAACTATTTGATACCCAACAACAGGGAATGCATTTTATTTTCAAGAAAAGCCCACTTCTACAACAATGTAAATCAATTAAAAAAACCCCTTTAGTAGACTTACTATAGGAGATAAGACTTCAAAATCTGATGCTTTTCGTA